GGAAATACATAAATGAACACAGCTAAATAAACCAAAACAGACGTAAGGAACAAATGCAAAGAAGCCACGCAAAACACAAGCGGGAAAACGCACAAACTCACGAACAAACAAACAAACAAACAAACAAACAACCCAACAAACAAACAAGCAATCAAGCAATCAAGCAAACACACAAACAAACCAACAAACATGCAAGCAAGCAAGCAAGCAAGCAAGCAAGCAAGCAAGCAAGCAAGCAAGCAAGCAAGCAAGCAAGCAAGCAAGCCAGCCAGCAAGCAAGCAAGCAAGCAAGCAAGCAAGCAAGCAAGCAAGCAAGCAATCAAGCATACACACATACAAACAAGCAAGCAAACAAACACACAAACAAACAAACAAGCAACCACACAAACAAACAAACAAACCACCAAACATGCCAACAAGCAAGCAAGAAGCAAGCAAGAAGCAAGCAAAGCAAAGCCAAGCAAAACAAAACAAAGCAAAGCAAAGCAAAGCAAGGAAGCAGGCAAGCAAGCACGCAAAGCAAAGCAAAGCAAAGCAAAGGCAAGCAAGCAAGGAAGCAGGCAAGCAGGCAAGCAAGCAAGCAAGCATACACACATACAAACAAGCAAGCAAGCAAGCAAGCAAACAAACAAACAAAAAACTACACAAACAAACAAACCAACACACATGCCAGCAACAAGCAAGCAAGCAAGCAAGCAAGCAAGCAAGCAAGCAAGCAAGCAAGCAAGCAAGCAAGCAAGCAAGCAAGCAAGCAAGCAAGCAAGCAAGCAAGCAAGCAAGCAAGCAAGCAAGAGGGCAAGCTAGCAACCACCCAAACAAACAAATCGTCCAAACAACCAAACGAACAAACAAAACAGCCGCGATGATCCATTGATAATTCCCATCCGCCTTCTCCTCCAGTTGCACCTCGAACCGTGCCATGGAGGACTCCAGCTCTGAGACGCTTTTGCGCTCCGCCGCGCTGTGGCGCTGGGCCTCACCGCAGGGTGGTGATCTTGAAAATGGCGGAGCGACCGCCACTGTTCTTAGGCAGTCTCTCCGCTGTGCAAAGTAAGCAAAGCCTCTTCAAGGCCACATGCCACGTTGACAGGATCGCGGATTTGCGTGTGAGAGCAACCCTGATGCAGGACGAGAGTGAGTGAAGCTGCTGACCAAGCCGGATGGCACAGTGGAGATCCCACAGCAACAATAGAAGTTACAAACATTGCGGTTGGCATCCTGCTTTTGAGGCTCGGGATCCGGGAGTGTTTCTTTTGCGGACTTCCCAGACTGCTTTTGTCGGGGAACCCTTCGCCGCTTTCTCCAAAAACGTACTCAAATATGGTGGTCTTCCGTTGATTTCCCTTTAGACAGACACACCCTTTGGGTTTTGACGGGTTCCTTTGGTTGCCGAAGGCGTGGACTCACTGGGCGCAAGTTTGGCCCATGGTCTTTCAAGGGCGTTTGTCAGATTTTGTTAAACAACCGGAATGGGGGGAGGGGGCTTTCGGGGTTCCATCTCAGTCGTCAATACACCTGGCAAAAAAACGAGTCGTCTCAACCCTGCAAGGAACCAAGGAGGCCGAAAGCCTCACCAATTGATGGCACGGGGCGCATCACCAATTAAATTGCAGCAAACTAGGTTCCACAATCAATCCTCATTGTCTCCAATTCACCTGGGCATCAGGCCAACAGGCAAACAACCAACCCTCCTTCATGGTAAACTCTTGAGTGGGCCCAATGTCATTGCAAGGAGCATTGGCCGCTGACTGATCGCAACTGGTCGGTTCCGCGCCTGGCGCAGCGTCTCCGACAGCCTCGCGTTCTCCCGCCTCAGCTGCTCGTACTCCGCCATCCGCCGCTCGGATCCGGCCTCCGTGCCTTGGCAGGAGGCGACTTGCGGGGCGGGACTGACGTCCGAAAATGATTTTGAAAATGCCTGCTCAAGGAGACCAGAAGGGGCTCAGCCACTCCGGCCTTGGAAGCACCCGTGTCCCAGAATTAAATACATAGGGCACAAATCGGCCGCTCCCAACGACAAGAATTACTTGCCCACAAACACTTGAAAACATGACCCAGAATAGGTTGCTTCGAACACCTGTCCTAGTTGCTCCTAGTTTCACGAACCAGTTTGGTTTGCGGCTTACTGCATTCCCAGGCAAATATGTTTGCAAGGTGTGTTGCAGTTCTAAGGGGGCTGCGAAGTAGCTCTGCAAGGCACTTCTTGTGAAGCCAAATCCCACTTTAGCTTTAATCAGTGGCGTGGCTCAGCAAAGTGCGAGCAACTCAACTGAATCTCCTGCATCCGAACGCAATTCGAAGGAAACCCAACGGACATACACAACTTCAACACTCCGGTTTGTGGGCAACCTGCCCTACTCACCAGCTAAAAGGGCCTTGCTTGAAGCCGCCCATGTGCATTTGTGGGAACTTTGCGCGGGGTTGCGCACACTTCCTTGCAGTTCAGTTCTAAAATGCACAAACAAATCTAAGTGGTTCAGAAAGCTTTGCTTTTCGGCGCTCGAGAAGTGCCGGTGCCCCTACATCATTCTCCAGACCGAAAAGCTTTGCCCAAAGGATCAAGAATGAGACGTGCAAAGGCCCATCGACTCAACAAGATTCGTCCCTCAGCATCCCCGTTCCCAGCGTTCAAAGGGGAACCCACTTTCTGACATGCATGATTCCGTTCCACAAAGATCGGTTAGGAAGCGATTCAGCAAACAATCAATTTGACGTTCACCATCAGGCAAATCATCAAATCGGTCAAGCAAAAGGGTGGTGATGGGTGGTCCTTATACAATTGGAGTGCGCCCACACCCCACCCCTCCCATGCATTGCTTCGGGGGTGGGGTGCCTAAAGCAAACATTCCCAAAACCATCAAGCGACATGCTCAAAACACTGTGTGTTAAAAGGGGGCCTACACCCAAAGGCAATGTCAAGAACCCGTCAAAATGCACCTTTGACAGCACCCCCTTGAAGGACTCACCTAAATATCCCCTGGTGCATGTAGAAACCCTTTGAAACAGCTGTTTTCGAATTTGGCCAACATATTGGCCATGGGTCAAAAGCCCGTACCCCCTGTGGACATCCCAATCCCACCAAAATAGACTAAAATGGGTGGTGCACCTACCCCAACTGGTACCATTGGTTTTGAACCATGGCCATATCCATTAAAGCATCCTGTTTAAGAGGCCCAGGCGCTGGTCCGCTGTGGCGATGCCACGAAGCTGCGATGGGTGGGGCTGGACACGCCCGTCTCGAGGGCAGTCCTGCGTGCAGGGCTCAGTTTCTGTCCCCTTGCCAAGGGTTGCTTGAAGGATACATCCAAAACCGTCTGCTTTACAAGGGGATACTCTAAAGCAGCTGGTACACATAAGGTTGCAACTGGCCCAAATATGTTCCTTGAAAGGGTGCTGTCTAAATAGCACCCCACCGAAAAGGTCGACTCATCTTACACTAGCCCTGAAGGCGGTGATTGGAACCACTCAAAAGAGACATGCGCAAATTAGGGTGCCGTGCTTGTCACAGAGGGGAGGCCCAGTCTCACAATTCACATCTCACTGATCAGCATGCAGTGCCTCAAAAAGCCATTTGTTTGCTGAGGGAGTAACAAACATCGAATACCTGCCCTGCCGCGCCAAGAAGTAGACAAGGGATCCCAGAATCCATATGTCATCCTCCCGCAAGCAAAATGGCACTGAATGGAACTCCATGGGCAAAATCTTGGGTCCCTGAGCCGGGCAGCTGGACAAATTGGCATGTCGGTATGCTTTCTGAGGAGACCTACCATATTGTTGGGCCCTCACGGGCACCGAATTCCCCTCGAGGAAATACGACTGCGCTGGCCACCGGTTCCTGCTGTAAACCTCCTTGCGGTCCACGTGTCGCACACAGCTCCCAGGGAACCAGCCGGTTCGCTCGTTGCCCTCCAGGTGACCACCCCACCATCCTGTCTCGTCCTTCTCCAGGACTATCACCTCAGTGGCAGGGTCCCCAAACCCATTGACGGCCGGCCTGTGACCCGAGATGAATAGACTCTTTACGTCAGACTCCCCTAATGAGACTAGGTAGCAGGGTCAACTGCGGTACTAAGGGAACCGTGAGAAGCGTCCTCCAAGCAAGTACCTTCTTATGTGTGATTATGCGAGGTCCATCACCAAGCATATTTCGCTGACGCACTCCTGCTGTTCCAACACAAAACAAAGCTCACTGAGGAGCCTTCCCTGTTCGCAGGGCCCTTGCGAAGCAACCGCCTGAACGCGGAGCAACCAAGCGACGATGTCATGGACCTTCAGCGTCAGCTGTGAGTCATCCGTTGGGTCATGCTTCTTCACCACGATGGCGCGGAGGCAATCCAAATCCAGCTCGGATATGGAGCTGTCCATGGCAGGCCCACGGTTCACGCTTAAGCAGGTCATACATGCACCTATCGATGGCTAACATCTGTGTGTGTGTGTCTGTACATGTGGTATTGATACATACTCTTAAACACCAACATGTGACACATGAACAGGTATCTTGAACAAGTTGAAAATTGATGAAGCCCTTTTAAGCACTTTGCGTGCGCATTGAGCAACCGTAAAATCCACGAAGGCACCATAACCAAACTGTTGTACTCGTAACACGTTGTTAATCATACAAACATGCTTGTACTCTGCTGAAGCCTCAGCCACAGTGCACAGAAAAGGGCGCGAGCAAGCCAAAGCAAACAAACAGGAACAAGTGTCAGGGATGCAAACATGTAGAAAGGAAAGACCAGCTTTGCTCGACGGGTGCGCCGCTCCGCAGCAAGCCCCAGTATGGAATTCAAACATGCATAAAGCAATCAAGCTGCAAAGGCTGGCACAACATGCACGCACTCAAGGGAAACAAGCAATAGCGCAGCCTTAATGGAACAAACGGCTGTGAAAAACGGAGGACTCCGCAATCCCCACGAAAAGCCACAAAGGAGACTCCTAGCGAGTCCCAATAGCCCGAGGATACATCTTAGCTCCATGTCCTAACATATTTCTGACCTGATTCACCAGCCAAACCCGCGAAACCCTGGCTCCGAACCCGCGAACCGGGGCAAAACGCGCTTGGGGCACTTGTGATCCAACTGCTGCAGGCAGTGCACGATGTGAGTCATGGCTTGGAAGTCCAGCTTGGGAACAAACCGGACCAGGTCCCGCAACAGCAGGTCGTATCTGGCGCAAATGGACGTATTGCCAGGCCAAAGGGCCCCCCGAAGGAAGACAACCGAACTAAAGGAAAGCTCTGGCTATGGATTAGGTATGCCCCAGTCAACCGGGTTGACATATTTAATATGGCAAGTCAGTTGTCCTCAGCCATCCTTCTGCCTACTCCCCCTTGACTTATCACCTCAGATTAGGAAAGATGCGTTCATGGGCATGCCTTCTTCATGCAGCCAGTCTTTCATTTGTCCCTACGGAACACTTAAAGCACCTATGGAAAGCGTGGCCCACGTGCTCAACTCGTCGCGCGAGCGCCTTGGGTCCCGCAGAAGCCGATTCAAGGCGATTGGGTCCTTGACCTCGTCCAAGGACGCCAAAACCTGCCAGAGTTGTGCGGTTGCCGCCTATTTCTGACAAAACATTCCCCAAGCCCTCTGGTTGATCATTAGCAGCACCCCAGTTTCATAAGTGACTTCAACACATACCTAGGTCTTCCAGTTGGTTACTAGTTGAGGCTCTGGGCATTTTTTGGGCTCATCAAAGACTTTGAGCGGGAAAAACATGAAATGTGCGGAAACCTTGATTTGGCATGGTTTGGCCAGTTGTGTCCCAGCAGGTGGGCGGAAATCGGCGGGACAGGAGCGGACATCTGCGAGAAATGAGCGGACCAGAACAATTTTCCAATTGAGCGTGCTTGGGTGAAATGAGCTTGCTTGTTGCTCGAAACGGAAACATGCAAAAACATGTGCACAGGGAAAACCTAGATATATATGGGGTCGTTCGGCAATCAATCAGACTCTAAAAGTTATGTGCGACAAAATGCTGGCCTGAACGACTCAGTTTCAAACTGAAGCAGTGCAGTGCGACATTGATTGATGTTTGCAGTGTTGTTTAGAACCCCCCCCCCCCACTTTGAGGGGCCCCTTTGGTCTTTCGATGTATTGCGAGGCGGGCCCGGCCCATACAATACCACCACCAAAGTCAAACATGCAACAGGGGTCATTGGATGTCCTGCTCCTAGTCAAGGGGACCCCTTAAAAATTAGTTGCAATGTCTGATGCTTTCACATTCTTTCAAACAAGCGAATGAGGAATAATTAACATGCAGACTGCTGGCCAAGGAACACTCGCAAATCAGGAAATGCCAAGCGGCGTTCGGCCAAACGAAAGCAAGCCGTGTTGGGCAGGGGCCAGCAACACAGTTGACCGCGTTTCTGGTGCAAAGCATGCACCAGTCAACGGGGGTTGTTTTGCACTTGAGGCAAAAGCACTAAGCGGTGAAGCTAGTCACTGATGCGAGTTGTATGAGCTTGAAACGTCCATGCTCTGTCCTGAATGGCGGTCACCAGGTTGTGCACGAAGAATACGCCCCGATGCGTGACGAGCAATGCCAGCACGGCTTCAGGCTGCTCGCACTTCAGAAGCATTTGGTCCATCTGCGAGCAGATGGGATTCCTGAAGACAAACGAAACTAGAGACATTACATTCCATTGCAAGCTCACAGCAAGCAAAAATAATGTTATGCCTCGTTTAAGCATCACCCGATGTCCCAAAAGGCAACTGTATGAGGACCCCTGTGCAAAGAAGCCGCCAACACCATAGAATCACATGCCACCCCCGAGAAAAGCTCTTTTGAATGTGCATAGAAGAAAATCTACGGCACTCCACGTGGTCCGGTGGAGACAAGGGGACAGCCCCAACACTTCAGTTGGCTGGTTTCAAGGGACACCACCCCCAACCTTCTTTTAGAATCCCTCAGATTTCAGTGGTCCGGGAGGGCCAAATTCCACTGCGAGCTTCACATAAAGCTCTGCGCCCGGGGTGATCCATTGCCGCAGCTGGCTTGGAAGGCGGTCTTGCTCGAAGGACTGTGCTGGAGGCTCCTGCCAAAAAAGCAGGGTTGCGCATTTTTTGGTATCACCAGGCCCTGACAAAGCTTGGCCAAACCCTACTGATACCTCGAATAGCGGGCAGGCATCCCATTCTTAGAGAAGGCCCTTCTTTGGAGGACACCACACCCAATGAATCCGAGAGGTTTGAGAAATGTGGAGTCAACATCGCTTGTTTGGCATGGTCTTGCAGTCTTCCGGTTTCATCTTATTGTTCACTCGCGCAACAACCTCACACTGTAGTCATGAAACGACCCGGCACTTTCTTCCATTTGCGACGGGACAGCAACTTGTGATTGTTGCTGTGCAACACTGCACAAGGAAGCCTGATGGTGCGCACAGAATCCTGGAATTTGCACTTTCGACCATGGGACATATCAACCGCAATGTTGTAAAGCAATCCTTTGAAAAAAAGGGCCCAACAAAAAAGCCGATGGTGTCACCAACTAACACCCCTTAAAAGAGCACAAAGCAAGCCCGGGCCCGTCCTGCGAAGCTACCTCCACGACAGCGCGACACCACGGCTTCAGGCGATGCAGCGTTCGCAGCGGGCGCAATGACATCTGATGGCAAATTACAGTGCTTTTCTGAGGGCACCCTTGTTGGGCTCGGTTTAAAGGGACACACAAGGAAAACCACAATTTTGTGCTCCCCGCAGTTTAACACATACCCCCCATATTTCGCAAACTGACAAGGGATCCAAAGTAGCTCGTTTGACCCTGTGAGCTCGCCATAAACTGCGCAAGCGCGGGGATAAAGAGGACAAAGGTGTTGCTTTCCCTATCCGAGGATTGCAGGCTTCCACACATTTAGGTTGTGTTCTTGCATATGGTCGTGCTTCGGGTGTTGCTCAGGTCTGGAAACACAAAGCATACCGCCTCTTTTGGCTTCCCCTTGGCAAAACTATGGGCCATTTCTCTCTAGTGTTTGTATTGATTCTAGCGGCACTCCTTGCAAAAAGCGCTGAACAAAATGGACTGCTAGTTGTATCATGCTTGCTCTGCAAAAAGGTATGGCTAGCCGCGTGGCATCCTTGGCAGTTTCCTTTGCACTCATTTCCCAGGAGCTTTCCTGTCCAGCCACTTCCCGCTCTCCAAAGCAAAGCTGAGCTGCGGAGCAACTGTCACACGCCCGAAGGCACGGGCCACTGGCAGCTGGGCGCCATGGTGACCCCCATGGCCAATGCAACGCCCTCACTGCTTTAACAATGTACAACCCAAAAGCGATTCCAACCAGAGATTTCGATGGACAAGCTCCCTTAAGCCGCTGAGCCACACCGAACCGCAATTCAGATATCGCAGCGCTTGCCACCCAACACCTGGCCCTCAAAGAGCGCGGCTTCTCTCTGTCCAAAACCTCCCGCTCAACAGCCTGCGTCAAACAAGGCATGATCATGCGCACTGGGTGTCTCGGGCAAAGGAGTCAGCACAGAATGAACTCAATTGATGCTTATTAAAATTGAGGACTCAAAGGGTGCCGAAAGGAAACAACCGATCTGGAGGGGCCTTCATACTATTCAGAGCTTCTCCACGCCTTGTAGGACAGCATTCTCTGCTCCGAGAGTGCGCCGAACTTCTCCTCCATCACATCGAAGCCTAGCCGACATCCGTCTGAACAAAGAATGAAAACAATGGAGCTGAGCAGAATCCAAGGAGCCACGAAACCTCATGAGCTGTGACATGCCGCTTGCTCGCTTCAGTCCAGGCCTGGGATGAGGTGATCAAGCCCCTCCGGCGCGGCGGGGATGCGCGTGCTCCAATCTGGCATGTGTTGGCTGCCAGGGAAGCAACCAACGGCTGACTGGGTACAACAGCCCGGCTTGAGCTTGTGCGGCAGTTTGAAGTCGGTTTGGAATGGTTTGGAGTCTGTGCGATCTGCCCAACACCAGTAACCACAAATCGGCTCAGTGACCCATATTGTAAAAGGTGGGCCGGTTCAGTCCAGGTTACAGGAAATTCCGAAATTCAATGGTTGCATGCCTTCAAGCTATGGAGATAGGCTGATGCCATTGCACGCCTCATTCTGATTCCGGCGGGGACAAAGTGCATTGATACGGAAATGGCTTGCCGAGCATGCGGCACATTGTGGTGCTGATGGCTAAGACACGGCGGGGCCAACGCAACATTGCAGCAAGGTGAGAATTCAAGCATAGAAGAATTTATGACACACCTATGACTCTGTAGCCCAAGCGACGCAAACAGAAATGCGTCCCCAATCTCCCCAAGGCCACGAAAACAGAAGATGTATCGTGATGATTCATGATGTATCCACCTTTCAGGCCCACAACTAGAACAGGTCCAGCCCGGAAGTCAGCCAAGAGGTCAAATTCGATTTTCTCGGGACAACCGAAGTCCCCATCTCCGAGGCAAGTGAGGCCTTCACGAAGGTTCTTCTCATCGTGAATGGGCATCTTGGCAGGGCACCCCGCCATGCGCGGGGAAAAAAGACGGGAACGCGCTTTAAAAAACAAGGCCAAGGATGGGCAACAAGTGCTGTGTCATACAAGGCCCTATCAACATCTTTGGACATGACACTGCAAGAGCATGCCAGCTGTGGGCAAAGTTTGCATTTGCAAACAGGCAAATGCCCACTTCAGCTACCAATCATTCCCCAATATGTCTTCAAGTCTCGTTGTTGCCCATGCCCCGAATTTGCATGCCAGGGTGCAAGCTCTGAACGGCGCAGCGCCTTTGGGGGCAGCTGTCAAGCAAGGAATCCGCCAACTGCGACTCGAAGCACCCGCTTCCAAGACATGCCACACACTCGCACACTTCGTATGCCCAGCGATGCCCAACGATTGAAGCTCCAAACCTTATGTGGCATTCTAAACACACAGCCTTCTTCGAACTCTGTGGAGCTGAGAGCGTTCCCAAAATTTATGATGATTTCAAATCGGGATTTGTAGTTTTGCGAAATGCGTGGGATAATCAAAGCTTGAGCCTCGTCTTGGCGTAGTCTTTCCAGTGTTTCATGAGACGGGTTCAGACCATCTTTGAGATCCTAGCATATCCTGGTCCAAGGCGCTGTTGCCGAGCTGGGTCTCGTCGCCCGCTGTGTCAGCAACACCCGCAGGGCTTCCGACACGTCGCCCGAGGCCATGGACAAGGCCATTGCGAGCAGTCTTCAGACTTGCCACTTTTGGCGCGTCTCGAGATGAGAAGGAAACAAAGTCCGTCGTGTTGACGGTGGAGAAAACCCCAAGAACTTTCGAAAGGCAAATGCCCTTTGAATCGGCAATGCCACCTGTCAGGGCAAATCGAGGAATGGGTTGGGCTGTTGCTGCGGTGGCAGGGCGTGTGATGGCTTTGCTGGCTAAGCAGAAGGCTTCTATGAGCTGCATGTGGCTGGGTGCTCGGAATGTGATAGAAAGCCACACGCCGCAGGTACTAATCTAAAGGAATTCAAATGCTCAATATTTGGTGAAACCTTCAAGTCGCATGAGCGACGCTGGAAGCCAGAGTTGCATTCGCATCAGGACTCCCGCGTCTGCAAAAACAGAGGTCAACTTGACAGCCTCGTCAACCAAATTTGAGGCAAAGTGTTGCGACCACATGCAGGATTCCAAAGCCTGACTCCCCGGTTTTTGAGGGCAAGTTCCCCTCAAAGGGGTTTCCTGATGAGGTCAAACTACATCTAGTAGGCCTCATTGGGATTAGGCAGCCCCTTGTGGTGGGCCCTTGCAACCACAGGACTGACGAGTTTATACTCAGTGGATTCCGTTTGCGCCCTGCGCATCCAGGCGTCCTATGCTTTTATCTGAGGATCGGCCTCATTCATCTTGTGGCACGGCTAGTGTCTCACATTATTTGAGGCATTTGGGACTGCGGGGGGTGGAGAAAACTGCTGGTGCTGATACAGGGTTATTACTCTCAGCGGCTTCTTCAGGATTGTTGGGCCCCCGCCAAAAAAAGAAGAAGTAAAGTCTCCTCTGACACGAGACACCTCTTCCTGTTGGTCAACCAGGGGTTTTGCAATCATCGCTTTCTATTCATTGCTTCCCCCTATTTTTAAATCCACCCTTATGTTGATAAATATGACTTTTCAGGCCAATACTGCACTTCTGACATCAATTGGTACTTTCACCACTTGTTTCAATTGTAAACTAAATTGTAAATTGTCATGCTCACTTCACCCCTTAAATGTGTGAACTGACAAACCCAAAAGGTGCTTGGAGTAATTCCATGCAAATCTTACTCGGCAGATTACGATTTTGATGGTTTTTGTTCCCGGCAAAAGGTGGACCCCAGTTGGAGAACCCCGATGGGAATTTCTGGGACCCCGTTAATAATTATGTTGTCGCCCAACACAAATACTAATAGGAGGGATCCCGGGACTGAGTAATAGGGGGAAGCGATTGTAGACATATATCATATATACATATGATAGTTACATATGTACATATACACGAAAAATATTGATACTCTATATGCAGCTATATGCTACATATGTTAATGTAGAAGTGCTGGCGCCTGTGCATCAAATGCAAGCCCCATGCAGCTCCACAGCCTGGTTGCCAGGGTGTTTGTGACCTTGGACGCGTGCAAAAA